CTGCTTGACTGCTATTGCTAATATCACTGATATTAGTGTTATTATTATTATTACTATTATTATTACTACAGTTACTATTATTACTATTGTTGCTGCTCATTGTCCCCCATCGATGTGGCTGTTGTCGTCGTCGTCATCATCTTCTTCATGTTCATCATCATCATCAGTCACTACTATTAGTGTAGTTGTGCTACTGCTGTTGCTGTGCACCTTTGTCTCTGTTCTTCAGTCTTTACCTCTGTCTCTGTCCTTCTGTCTCTCTCTCTCTTTCTCCCTAACTGGTCGAGGCGACCACCCACCTAGAGCCAGGGTGTTTTCCTTGCCGCCGTCGCCAAGTGCTTGCTCATGGTGTACAGTCTAGACCTGCTCTGAGATTATTTCTGTTATGAATTGGTGCTATACAAGAAAAATTTAATTGAATTTAATTGAATTGAATGTTCCTTATGCATGCAATCCTTTCTCTTTATCGGGCCTTTGTTTTCCTCATCATAATTAAACAGCCTGTCTGTTTTGAGGAACACAGTACATGTGAGATAACTTCTGTTATGAATTGGCGCTATACAAATAAAATTGAATTGAACTAATTGAATTGAATCTTGTGAACAGCCTACTGATTAAACATTATCTCTAATAAAGTATTTTTTCACGAGCCTATAGGCTACAGAGGCTCCTTTATTCCGTATCGTAACAGAAAGCTGACTCACAATGTACAATGTGTTGTACAAACTAAGTAGTAGTAGTAAGTATACTATACACCATGCATCCTATATACTAAGTATAATAGGATGCACGTTAAGTATCACATGAGGTCATTTGTTCTTCTGATTAGTGAAAAGAAACATGTGGCCATTTACAGTTTGTAATATCGCTAATATGATTAGTTCTGCACGTGTGTTCCTGTCAGTCCACAAACTGATCTGAACACACTTTATAATCAGTTCTTTCACAGTTCATCAAACTGTAATCAAGACACTCAAAGCTTTTAAATACTTGGTTATCTCAGTGTTGATATTGAGCTGTAACCTTGCGAGGCAGCTGATCACAAGATGATGCGAGCATCAGTGTCCTTTGAGGAACAACTGGCAGCTACAGTCATAGTTTAATGCTAGGTGAGTATGCTAACTGAGTGTGACAACATGCGTGAAAGTGCAGCATCAGAACTGCAGAGTATTTCTTAATTGAAAGAATGGTAAATGGTAAATGGTCTTGTATTGTATAGCCGTTTCTAGTCTTCTACACCTCAAAGCGCTTTTACACTACAGTGCCATTTCACCCGCTTTACACACATTCAAAGCGATGCCAAAGTTTCATCGAAAGAAATTAACTCCACTCTCATACAGCATTCACACACGTGACAGCATCGGGGGAATTTTGGGGTCAGTACTTGCTCAGAAGGACTTACTTCGGACATGTGGGGGAGGGAGCGGTGACGCACAACCTTCCGATTAGTCAGATCAGTCCTCTGAGCCACAGCCGCCCAAGAAGAATGACACTGAAGGTTTTTCTCCATGGAAACCATATTTTCGTTCTTCTCCAGACTGGCTTTAGTAAGAGTTTGACTGTCAGTATGTTTTATGTTAAATGTGACTATAGGCTATAGGCTCACATAAACAAACACCCTGTGTAAACGCACCACCATGCTCCTAATCTAAAAGATTCAGTGACTTGTGTGTGCCTATATGTGTTGATAAAGAAAAAAGATAAAGACACAGATGAACGTAGGGGCTAAACTTGACTGGCAATCTACACCTACACTGGGTGAATGTGTGCGTGGGTGTGTGTGTGTGTAGGAGAGTGTCAAGTATCACCTCTCAGGTATGGAGGCTGTAGATGAAGTAGCGGCCTTGTGTAAGGCAGCAGATTCAGTTACCAGTGTAATTCTAAGTGTGTGTGTGTGTGTGTATGTGCGTGTGCCGTAGTCTTACCATAGCCGTTATCACTGTAGGATGACGGGTGTTCTCCTAAAATGGCCTGTCTCTGCCTGCCCTTTCCACGGTCTGAAACACACACGCATACACACACACAAACACACACATTATTACATTGTGTGCAGGACTGTCCAATAATTTACTTAAAAACAACGGGCTTTTTTCACAGATGTAGATCTTGAATCAGCTGTTTCTGAAGACTGCAATGCCTCTTTAGAGGGCTGTTAGCCCAGACACCGAACAGTTTTACTGTTCACCTTTATTTTCTCTTAGTTTAACTAACCTGGGAGTTTGTTTACAACCCGTCTGATTGTCTGACTGCTTGTGTTTCTGACCCACTTTAGTGATGTTGATACGTTCCCAGATCTCAGCAATTAACTTGGTTATTCCATTGATAATTGTGTTGATATAAATGATACACAAAACAACAAGAATAAGACCCAGATTACAAGAAATGTCCTGCACTATATCCTTTAATAGACAACCACAAGGTTACACTACAGTAAAATACTGCCACAAGATCACGTTTAAGGTTGAATCTTGAAGAGAAACTGTTGGGGGGGCTGTCAGTTATTAGTTGGGCTCTATTAGCAGGGAAATCAGATTATTGTATAAACTTTCAAAGGTGCACTCACGGCCACAGCTGGAAATTTTCTTGACCTTGTGCAACATGCAAAAATGGAGAACCCTAAAGGGAAATTCCAGTTTCACACAACTTGGGTCCTGTTTTTAATGGTTTTGTCTATCATTTCTAGTTTTCAGATGTTGCCATGGCAGTCAGGTCAATGGTGTAGTAAGTGGATGTGTGGGAAATGTGGTAAAATAATAAAAGAACCAACCAAAGCACATGGAGAGAGTCAAGCCAAGAAGCATTGTATGCAGTGACTGGCAAGCCTCGGTCCGAACCTCGGTCAACTTCCTCTTTTCCTGTACTTTGATATGCTATGTGCTAGGCTCGTCTGTGTTGAAAATGATAGCTAACTAGCTGGCTAATTTACATCAATTGTTAGTTGGCTAGTTAGCTAACGTTTTGCTAACATATATCTTTAAAGCACCTTCAAAATGTCAGCTTTTCAACATAAACGAGCCTAGCATATAGTATATCGAAGTACAGGAAAGGACAAAATGACAGAGGCTTGCTCAATTGTTACTGGAGCGCAGAGCAAAAAGAGGCAGGACTTAGGAAGGGTCAAGTACCTATACCTGCAAGAAACAGGTAATAATAAAACAGACAAGAGGACTTGGAGGTGCCACTTGGCTGAAAACGGCCCCAGTACGTGTAGGTCAATAAAGCCAACATAGTATTGACTATAGTGCTGCACAAGAGACTCTGTCCAAAAAAACAGAAGAAGACACAATCCTGACAAAGCCCAATAGCCACTGCAAATGTTGTTCTTACCTTTGCTAATTGCTGAGATCTGAGACACAATAACTAGCCCCTGGAGTGCACCAAATCTTAACAATTTTAAACATTATCCAAGTATATCAGTTGGAATGGACAGCAGGAGACCATTATACATATTCTTGAAGCAACAAGACTGTTGAAGCAACGGGGGGCATTTAGTTGCATTTGGTTTGGTATCCTTTAGAATATTTTTCTTAAAGAAAAAACAAAACAAAAACCCACACACACTATAAAGCTGACCACTGAAATACTGCTCCGACAGGGATGGTTGTATTTAATAACACATGACGGCTCAAGAAAATGAGCCTGTGTGCTGTCATGTTTGTTATTCACAGTTTAGAATTACTAAAGCAAAGAGGTAAAGTCCTTTTACGAACCATCATTTTTTTGTGTGTTGAAAGTAAGTGAGTTGATTTCAAATTACATTAATTTCTATAAGCCATACTCATGAGTAATGATTCTTAGACCCCAGGGAGGAAAAAAACTTCAATAAACTTTATGGTAATGATGGTGGGTGAGTAAATAAGAAAACAGGTTTAAGGTGGTTTTATTCAATAGAATGATACAGAGAAGGTCATGAACAGAGATAGAAAGAGACAGTACCTGTGAGGCATCAAGCTTTCTCTTTTTTTCTCCCTCAGCACGAAAGAACATCAACCTGCATTACATTATCATCATAATGATAAAAACATCATCATTACTGTGGCTGTCAAACACATTTACTTTCCATCACTGTGTCTCATACTACAGTATATATACTATACAAAAGACTACATTGGAGGCACACTGAAATGACACTGACTTTTTTTCCTGAGAGTCAGACCAGAGTCAGCTGAAGAGAGAGAAGTAACCCCCCCACCCTGCCCCCTACCCCCCACACACTGGTCAGCAGTTATTTGGCTGATGTTGTATCCTGAAGACAGGCGCACACATCAACACACGCACAGTGATTAGAGGAGAGATGCTACAGCAGTGAAAAGTGAGAAGGCCTGGAGCTAATCCAGACAGCAGGATGGCCATCCACACTGACCTTCACACCACAGATTAGCAGCACACACAGTCAGCGTGCATGTTTCTGTGCTATATTCAGAGAACCTGGTTAATCGCAGAGGCAGTCGAGCCGAGCCACTGTGCGTATCAGCTGGCTGCAGCCACCAAGCCCAGCTTCTTCATTTGGTGTGACCATTTGATCTTCAGGACAATGAACATGATCAGCTGAGACCAAACACTGTCATCAATAGGGCTGTGTATTGGCAAGAATCTGGCAAAATGTATCACAAGACAGGGGTTACGATTCATACTGTATGCAAGCTGATATATTGATTTTTTTTTTAATTTTAGGAAAACTGTCATAGTATGAAGAACACACCACCATATGCATACAATCTGAACAGATTACTTTGGGGTGCCCTGGTAGACTTTGTGCCCCATGTACTAAGGCTGAAGTCCTTACCCCAGAGGCCCAGATTTCATTCCAAACTGTGGCCCTTGCATGCACCTCTCCAAAACTGCAAAAAACCTTCCAGTTACTTTGACTTCTACCTAATTCACTTTGATATCTTGGTCAATGAATGGCAAATTCTTACTAACACTCTGTTGAGAGTCTGTAGAGAGTAATAAGTCATTTATTTCTGTTGATCAACACCTGTAGTAGCTTTTGCATTGCACCGGCATTCTCTAATTTACACAGCTAACAATGTGGTCTTAATTATTTATATCTTCCGACACGGCAAAGACCAGTAATTGACCTCCTCTGCTTAACACCGGTGAGCTGTTCTCCCTGATTCCACACTTATACAATGAGGTCATATGAAGTAGGGCTGGTGTCTGAGCACTGAGCTCCACCAAAGATCTGCCCTTGGACACCACCTATATCACAACTGGTGTGCGCAGGACAACTGGGTACACTATATTTGAACTGGGAAGTCGGAATTTCCTAGTTTCAAGTCAGAAATATCAGGTGGAACGGCCCCTGAAGTCAGATTTCCAACTAGAAAAGTTGGAAGAACCTTATCAACCCCATCCTCAAAACCCAAGAAAGCTGCTTCCTGTGTCAACTAGGATAAAACTGTAGTAATATACTGTTTATTAGCATCTCTGTCTCAATAAATCAGTTGTCACATTACTGTCCAACTGTCCGTGGAAATATTTGCATGAGCAAAATACAGTGTAATGCATTGTTATCAACTGGTATTGCTAACAATGGCTAATAGATAACCTGGCTAGAGCTAGGTTTTTCAAACCTAGGACTCCTCAGGTAAATGGAATGCACCATAAGACCCTTTGATGGACCCATACCTATGATGGAGGCACAGCAGGTGCAGTTCAGTGATGTAATAATCAAAACTGAGCGTACAATGACTTACTGATCAGGAACCAGGAAAGCAACCCAGCATGGGCAAACAAATCCAAAGGAGCAGGCAGAAAATCCAGTATCCATAAAAAAACGTCCAAAAAACCCAAGGCAAAGATCCAAATAACTCTATGAAAACACTAGGAATATGCTGGGACGTTTGACACATGGACTGAGATGAAATGGCATTAAAACAAGGGAACATAAACTACATACACATACATTACAACATACACTAGTGAGGAAAGGATAATGAGACACAGATGAGCCTGAACAAATGTGGGAAAAAGACAAAGGCAGAAAGTGGTTACACAAGACACACAAGGAAGGACTCAATTCACATAAAACAGGAAATAACTAAACTAAAACCAGAAAAACCTAGGCTCAAGTCAGCCCTGACGTCTAGTTTCAAATCCTGAACTGAAATAATTAGAGTCTTTATCAAAACAAGCTAAAAATGTACATGTTTTTTTCCCACTGCATTTATACAACTTCTGCTTCTGCCAAAAGTGTTAAGCTCTCAGTGTACTGGTTTATTAAAGCCTCTATACTGTTCTGAAAAGTGATGTCTAATGATGAGCTCAATGACTATTATGCCAGAAGGGGAACTTCATCATTGATGGTAACCACTGCAAACTCTACCACACTTACAAGTGCTGTTTGTGGTTACTGCTGTCTTTAGTTTTGTCCAGTTGCAAACCTTATACTAATCCTAACCAAGTTTTAAGCCTGTAACGAGTTAACGCTGGAAATATTTAGTGCAGTTTAAAAGTTCAAAATGCCAGTAGAGCATGCAGATTATGACTGTCTCACAGTGTAAAGCACGACAGAGTGCTGTCAGTGGTGCAGCTGGGGGCATTAGTAGCTCAGTCGCAGTTCAAATCCAACACAGACCACAGTATGGATGAGTCCATTTCCAAGGTGCCGAGGTGCCCTTGAGCAAGGCCCCGAACCCCTAACTGCTCCCACTGATCCCAGCCCATCACTGTATGTAAAAAAAACTGAAAAAATAAAAATAAAAATAAAAATCTAAAAAGTAATAACAAATAAAGTAATAAACCTGGCTCACTATTATGTTTTCACAGATCAAATTGGCAGCGGTGGTGAGTGTTGCAGTTTGATTGACACCTATATCATTTCCTTTTAATACAAAATGGAAAAGTACATGAATTCATTATTTGTATCTTTACTGCCAAAATTAGTTGATAGTGTACACTTTATAATACTAGTATACTAGCTGTGAACATGACAACCAGGTTCCCTTATAGCTGTGTGGTGTCTCAAAGTATTTTGACACTTGACCAGAAACAT